AGTGTGCGGAGCATCGTGCGAGTGCCTGTCGATAAAAAACAGATGCTTTCCCTCTACATTATTAAAACAAAAAAAAACATCACTCCTGCATTGCTTGCATCAATATTAGGTAAAATTAATAGCTCGCAACTAGCTGTGGCAGGCTATAGGCTCGGCGTGCGCATGCGCGCGCGCAAGACCTCCGTGATTGAGGAAAAACTTGAACACTGAAAGAGGAAAGTTGCTCCTTTGGTCCTTTCCGCGAGAGGGCGAGACCATAGAGATTCCTAAAATTAACTAGTGAGCACTCTGGCGCTGTGATCGTTCAGCGACCATGGGAATGATGGGTAGTACACACATTTGCCTAGTCTTCGTACTTGTGGGTGGCGAATCGTACTTGCGGCTTCGTTTATTGCTGTGTTTCGGTTGTGTTTCGAAAGAAAGATTGAATCCTTTTGAACTTCTTGAGCTGATTAGGAAAGTAAGTATAAAAATTAAAATGGTGAAGCGGAACCACTGAACATTCGCTAATACTTGTTTCGTAAGAAAACAGCTTCAAGCCACACGAACACACACGGAGCCAAAAGCAGGCCAGAAGTACGAATATTAGACAAATGTGTGTACCACCCATCATTCCCATGCTCGCTGAAGCGTCGTGCGTTGCAGCTCCCATAGACACTAGCGCCAGAGTTCCCTCTAGTAAGTATTGTAGGAAACTCTATGGTCGAGACAAGTAAAGCGCCCGAAAGGGAGAAAGTCGCTGCGCCGAAGAATGGAGAAACGGCCTCCGTTTCTCCATTCTCGCTCGCCTTTTTTTATAGTGTACCCCAAAGGCGCCTCCATCTCTCTTCTAATCTTGCGAAACAACGCGGAAAGCAGTTTGTCCTCGAATCCATTATTCAAGCCGCCATGAATTGCTCATCTGGTCTTCTGAGCGGAAGCATGGATCTCACTTCTCATGTTGATCTGGTCTTTCGTGCGTTCAGTGCAGGTATAGTATACAAGTCGCATGGGCGTGTATGCCCGTATGTTCGCGGCTTCTACAGCTGCCTATACGCATCTAGTTTGACGAACTATTACTGGTACTGTCTCTCAAGGCGGGCTTGATATTGCGTTAAATGCACTTTCTGACCGAGATCGCTGCCGAAGCTTGTTAGCGCAGATGATTGGCCTCAACTCGGTAGGGAGACCTAACGTGAACATGAGGTGAGTCATTACGTCGACGCCTGTGTCTTAACGCGTTGCCAGTTCAATGAGCGCTGTTCCTGCATCAGCGAAAGCATGCCTACAGTTACAATTCTTGCACAACGCGCGTCGATAGTATGCTTCAGTCTCTAAGGAAAAAAAAACAGTTTTTCCTTACTGTGCAGCACAACCAAGTGTCACTGATACAATCACCTTCTTCCTTTTTTAATGAGATAACCCTCCGTTAGTTGAGGCTTATCACAGGTGAATGTATTATTTTTTTCTGTTGTGCTGCGCCGTAAAGAAAAACTGTTTCTAGAAACATGGCTCTGATAAGTAGAGATGTTGCCTTGCCACTGCTGATTAGGGTTGTATATGATGTGCATTGTGCCTGTGTGTGCCACTCGGCTGTGTATATATTTAAGGACATTTCTGAATAAAGCTTAGTTGCGAGTCAGAGCCCTGTCCTATCTTTCTGTGTTCCTTCCTGTCCTCGTCGATTTCGCGCTTCAAAGATTTCAGCCTACGAGGAGTGTATAAACGAATAAAACTACACTTGGTGTCATGCAACACGCAAAACTCAGCAATACAGGAAAACGTCTTGCGCAGTCATCAACCTGCGAGTAAATTTTGCTACCCAGAGGTCGAAATTCAGTTGTGGTGGGTAAATTGTGCGAGATTGTACGACGAAAACCTAGCCGTGATGATTTCTCGAAACGGTGCCATAATAGCGGAGTTAGGCGGGTTTCATTATCGAAAGAGCGACAATTTCTCTTTTCACTCTCTTCTACCCTGCCCTCTATAGTATCCTCACCCAAAGCCGCTTTGCCCTATCTCCGAGTGCCTCTCACAATCTCGTGTGGCATAGGTCTCCGCTCACGCGCTGCTTACAACACCGTCTACTTCCAGTTGCCGCGACTCCGTCTCTCCGTCCGCTCCGTCAACTGCGTGTTTGCTGGCGAACTGCAGCTGCCTATGGCCCGTGATTATACAAATTGTGCCGGTATGAACCACACGTTGCGCGCACACCGTCCAAAGCTTGCTATTATGATGGTCTCCAAGCACGCTTGCGGGCAGCACGACTAAGAAGTGGCGTGGACAGCTGCTTGCCGACTAACCGGTAGTCGTAGGTTCTTGCTCGACCAATCATAACCTATGTGTGGCAAGCATGGATATTTGAACAGTGCGTCAGAGATATTCATACGGCGCGTCACGCTGAGGCCCGAAAGGCCCGGAAAGGAGGAGGGATGGAAGGGAGGAGGGATGGTAATTGGTGGCGCGCCGGCGGCTCGTAGCGCAGCCACGTGTAGATTCGTTGATCGCGACGGCACACTGCATATGATCCGTGTGTTCACTTGAAATGTTTGAAAAAATATCGCAGGTGGTTCACGGGCCCTTTAGGCTAAAACTGTTTTGCTGCCTGCCACGGTGGTCTGATGAAGGCAACCGGCTGCTCACCCGCAGGTCATGAGATCAAATCGAGGCTGCGGCAGCCGCATTTTATTTGGAGGCGTAGGTTCTTGGTGCACTTGGGCTTAGATTTAGGTGTACGTCAAATATTCCGAAGTAGTTAAAACTTTCGGAGCCCTCTACTACGGTAGCTCTCATAATCATATGGTGGTTTTGGGGCGTTAAACCACAACAAGTATTGTTCAACTGTTTAGTTTGTCTCGCAATATTTCAAAAGTATTGAAAGTGAAAGAATAGTAGTAATTCTTTCTTTGGTGCCGTTAGTATCTTTTGATATTCTGGATGAGTACGTTCATACAATACATGAAGTTACCGTGTTCGTCGCTTCCCATGTTGCTGGGGGCATGCTTTTGAGCATTCACGCCTAACTGTCGTAGTATACAGTTTCAGTAAGTGGCTGTGTCAGGGACATATATTATGAGCACTTGGCTTTAGATGCGCCTCTCAATCGCTAACGTCTGGATATTTTTTCTCAATGCTGCTAATGAACGGGTCAAATAACTTGTACCGCCAAGATGGTGCACTTTGCATTTTCCTAATGTTTCCCGTAATGAACCTGCCACCGCTTTCTTTTGTCATTTGTTTTTTTCAACTTGCAGCTTCGTGGTATCTTCTAATGTCACGTTGAGTGTTCCCGCTAGATGCTTGTCACTTTAGTTATTAAACTGGTGTTCTCTGTGTGCAGCAGAATCGTTAACCCAGGCTCCTAACCGCATACCTTGTCTTGCGCCCTGTTTACAAGATGCGGAGTGTGCTCCACGTTTGATAGCCGGGCCAGCTGCCGCTCATTACCATACATTGAGAGACGTTTAACTTGGCCAGAGGCCGAGACCTGCTTCACTAAGCGTTTTCCCGCGGGGAAGGTGCGCTAGAGTGTACGGCCTTATTTCAGCTGATCTGTAACCTTGCAACGATAGAAGCGCCCCGCCCGACGCTGATTAAGAAGATCGTAACAATTTTGGGCCCCTGCATAAAAAGCTGTTTATTAACCCAGAAAGCTTCGAGGCCAGAAACTTTGGATGAAATACGTAGCCAGCACGACGCTGTATCATTTATCACCTAAGGAAAGAGCGAGGTGTTCAGCATATATGCTTGTTTCGGTTTGTGACGCAAAAGCATCCTTGGTACTGATGCACTAAAAACAGCTGCGTTCTGGAGTGCGCATGGGCCAGGAAGCGTAAACTTAGACACTGCAGTTGAGTTTAAATAGCAGAAGCACTTGCGTAAAATTCAGACCTGATCTATCTTCTGAACCTCTGGCACTGTTTTGTTCTTTTCCTATAGTTCCACGATGCGTTACATGTCTGGGATTGATAAGGCAAGTAGTTGATGCAGATGCTAGACACACATGACAATTTTCTTAGGGCTTTAACTGATCATTTTATAAAACTGAGCTACCGGCACCAGTGAGATTTTCGTTTAAATACCCGCGCATACACTCAGTGCACTTTGTGCTTGCTCTTGCTATTGTTCATGATTTTGATAGATATGTGGGGTTTAACGTCCCAAAACCACCATATGATTATGAGAGACGCCGTAGTGGAGGGCTCCAAAAATTTCGACCACCTGGGGTTCTTTAAAGTGCACCCAAATCTGAGCAGACGGGCCTACAACATTTCCGCCTCTATGGGAAATGCAGCCGCCGCAGCCTGGATTCGAATCTGCGACCTGCGGGTCAGCAGCCGAGTACCTTAGCCACTAGTCTTGTTATTGTTCAAGATATTCTTCTTCACGCTTCCCTCAGAGTAAGTCGTTGTGATCACCAAAGCCTTAATGATGCTCTCGAAAAATATTCTTCAAGGACACTTTCTGAAAACTTGGTTTAGCACAGCTATTGCATCGGAGTAGAACGCCCTGTAAGCCCGCGTGCTCAAATTCGGGTGCCCTTTAAAGAACCCCAGGTGGTCAAAATTTTCGGAGTCCTCCAGTACGGCGTCTCTCATAATCATATGTTGGTTTTGGGATGTTAAACCCCACATAACAATCCATCAAAACTCATTCAAGCGCCAGTATGATTGCGGCAACAGGTGCCGAGCGATTCCAAATTACACAGCTTTTCATCTTTATGTGACGGTTTTCATAATGCGTTTGCCTTCGCTGATAATATTTCATGCATTGTGAGCGGCCACAGTATTCTATTACAAACTATTATATTGTAGTAGGATTTTTACCAGCTCAGTTTAGGAACATCCATAATACCATAAGTACCAGCTCAGTTTAGGAACATCCATAATGCTATTTTCTCACATGAATAAGTGTCGGCAACAATCATAACTTCTCCAAGGAGTCAGAGGTGCAGCTTCGTGACCCCCCAGACAGTGTGTGCAATAATGATTTCTGTCTCTCTTTTTTTTTACGTTACACAGGAACGTGTACACACCAGATCAGCGCCCCACTTGGCGAAATCAACAGTCCCAACTACCCTGACGCCTACCCGAGCAGAAAGGACTGCGCCTGGCTCTTTACCACCACTCCGGGACACCGGCTCAAGCTGGTAATGCATGCCGCGTGCCTTCGTGTAGCATGCACCTGCCGCAGCACTATGCTACGTGTAGGTCGCTATCGGGAGTGCGGTGGCGCTCACGTTTGAACATTTTTGTTCTGTTTTTTTGACAGATTTTCAACGACTTTGAGCTGGAGCCGCACCAGGAGTGCGCGTATGACCACATCTCTCTGTACGACAGCGACAGCACAGACGCCCCGACGCTGGGTCGCTTCTGCGGGGCCAAGGTGCCCCACCCCATACTCTCCACCACCAACCGCATGTACATGGTGAGATCTTCTACGTATGTTTATCTCTGCATGACAGATGCGGGTTTAAGGAACTCGCCGCTGTCAGGCAAAATTTCAAGTGCAGTCGATACTTCCAGTGCGACCTAGTGGATGCCACTGTCGTTATTGTCGCGACTGATTTAAGTATGTTTGTCAAGGGTAAGTATATAGCTTGCAGGCAACTGTGCTGCTTAATTGCGACAGCTTTACAGATCATGTTGGAAGATTTCGAGCACGAAGGGCTGCTCCATGAGTGCTCTATAGGATCTACATTCGGACACACGCGCTCAACAGCGCGAAAACACTTTACTGATTGGCCGAGCATTTTGGGGAGAGGGGGGTCACTTTCTTGAAATCTTAAGGCAATTTTTTCGAATTCTTTTCGTTGAGACAAGGCGAAGTATCAACATGACATCCGTGTATTTTCTCGATTCTTCTTGGTTCCCTCGGTAAATGTAAGCAATGCAATGGGAATAATCAAAGCGATTGCAGCGAAGACGCAAGTCTGCTATTTTCGCGGTACTGTATGAGCAGGACACTGTGCAAGCTGAGGGATGAAGTCTAGGTGCCTTTCGGTCTCGTTTATTCTGAAACTTGCAACGACGTCCCTTTCGCTTTGACCATCTTTAGGTGGCTCTTCCACTGAAGGTGCTTACGCCTCTCGCTCCTTCCACAGGTGTTCAAGAGCGACGCCTCCGTGCAGCGCAAGGGCTTCAAGGCGTCCCACTCGACGGCCTGCGAAGGGCGGCTGCTGGCGACCGGGCGCACCGTGGAGCACCTCTACTCCCACGCCAAGTACGGCGACCAGAACTACGAGAACCGCGAGGACTGCGACTGGCTCGTCGAGGCCGAGTCCGGTCACGTGCGCCTGCGCTTCCTCACTTTCGAGCTGGAGCACGAACAGGACTGCGGCTACGACTTCGTTCAGCTCTTCGACGGCTACGACGACTCGGCACCCCAGCTGGGGAAGTTCTGCGGGAATAAGGTTGGCGCCTTGTCCTGTTTTTCCTATTAACGCGCGTACGCTCTGACTGCGCCCGTTACATCAACGCGCGGACGCTGGCTTTTCAGTGAGCGGTCGTCTTCATCCTCTTATTTCGTGTGGGACCAACAAGGTGTATTGTACATGGTGCTCGCTGCTTTGTTACATGCTCCCTGCCTTGGCAGCCTTCATTTAGCGCCATATATTTCCTGTTTTTTTTTTGCATTTAGTTTGACGATAGCATGGTATAATATTTAGAGCTTGCAATATATTTTGTGGTCATTTTATGTCAAAAATAATGTATTTAACTCCTCCATTTTTCAATTGTATTGACGATATTTATGTCCTCTTGTTATGCTTGTACGTGTTTGCTTTTACTATATTCTTTTGTTATTTTTTGTTTGAAAAATCATTGTACTACTCAATTGCCACACTCACAAAAGAGAGTAGCAGTATTGTAAATTATTAAAATGAAAAATTATTTCGCCATTTACGTGGGTCGTAATCTCACATTGCTAACAGTTTCAGTAAGAAGGATATAGTTGGACAAACAACCGACCATTCCTTCAGCAAAATTGACAAAAGAAATGGAAAGACCAAAAATGCCCGCCTTATGTGAATAGAACTTGCCGTTACAGCGTAGTTGGTCCCGTGTCATTTAGCTAAGTATGATGCTCAAATACCTCATTTTATATAATTTGTGGGGCTGTGCAAAGTATTCAAGAAGTTCCGTGACGCGAGAAGGCTTTCTGCGTGGTTGCACATGTTCGCGCTCGTCCAGCGCCAGCCTGCTCTTGAGGTGCCGTTGAACGGGCTACAGAAACGTAAAACGAAAAGCAAGAGGCTGAAGCTGGTTTAAAACGGCATGCTAACAGCTGTTTACCACGGTTTGTTTATCCTGACAGCTAGGAAAGGAAAGATTTTTTTTATTTATTACTCAAACTAAATAAACCATCAATTCAAGTGATAACTGCTGGAAATGCAGCACTATTTCTTGGTGCGAACACGAGTCTAAGAAGGCGCACTATAGTTTCCACTTTGTTGAAAGCTGAGAGAAAACGATTGCTGCCATGTATACAGGGTGGGCTTTTTTCGTTTTCGAAACACAGATGTTTGAATATGCTACAGTAAAGCAGCTGTCGAGTTCGCACATGTTGAGGTGAAAGCAAGTCCTTAGCTAAAGTTATGTCGTAAGTACCATTTAACAAAATGTTGTTATTATCAACTTGATGGCAGTTGTTTAAAAGGGAAAGTTAATTGTAAGCTCTCACAATTTAGAGCATTCCCCCTTGAAAAAAATAGATCGCACGTAATTTCACATAATAATTGTCGAATTTAAGTCTCTAATCGAGGCGATATCGAAAACGAGGACGCCTAGGAAGGCGACCGCGTTGTTACTTCGTGTCGGAACGTACCGGACGAAGAAGTGTCGAAGTTTGAATAAATGCACGTCGCAGCAGAATTTGACCATAAACGATGACAAGTCGTCGGAAACACCAGCGAAGCAGGTGTTCCTTGTGTGTGATGTGTGGGGCTCATCTGTTTAATGTTTAAACTATAAACAAGCTCGAATCACTCTTCCGCCTGTCGCTTTGTCGGCAAGAACATATGCCGCAATGGCTTCCCCTGAGTTCTATATTTCACTAGTGAAAGAAAGATGGCGATTACGGTTCACTTGCGCACAGCGCAATAGAAATGAATGAGCACCAAACAAGGTGAAGGTTTTCGCGTCTGTGCATGAGATGTGATGCAATTTGCGCCAAGATACTTCCTCAAAGCGCCTTCATTTACGTTTCGTCTCTTTTCATCGCGGAGCGTTCAAGTCTGACATAAGGCGGGCGGCCACTTTTCCTGCTCTCGGGTTTTTTGAAATTCGGTGATAAATTTGTGAAATTACGTGCTACTTTCAGAATTTCTACAGTGTAGACGTAGCGTATATTATCATGCTCTGCAGCTTCCTATATAAAAACATCCTCCTCACATCTGATAATAGAAATGTTTGGTGAGAAGGTTTCTTTTGTTAATGTTATTCAGTTATTTCAGGGCAAGATCACTTGTAGGCAAGGTATTTCAGACTCGAAGTAAAGTATTCCTGTGGAGAGAATAGGTACCCTACTAAAATAGCTCTTTATTTAAAAAAAAACTTGCGTTGTAAAAAAAGACACGAGGTAGCTGTGTTTACAAAGCATTCGACAAGCTCATCGTATGCGTCACATTAGTTTTTTCAGTATCGGCATTTTGCTGGTGAAGGCATGATAATTGCTTGTGTAGCAATGGATCGATCACCTCGATAGTGGAAACACTGTCTAACCGCAGCCTTCCAATTAAGCTAAAGCTTCCGACACGCGTTTCTGGAAGGCGTACAGTGTACGTACATTCAGTGCAGCGGCGTTCACAACTTTCGTTCACCGATCTGAGGAATAACTATAGCGTTCAGGTTACGTTAAAAAAAAAAGACAGTGCTGAGAAAGACTACATTTGCCGTATGCCATTCAAAACTCCTGGTGTCTTGTTAGCTTAGTGTCTAGCGCTGATTTCTGTTGATTGAGGTGCCCACACGTTCACTAAATCCGTTTTGCATTTCATCTTATAAGCAACGTGCACGTAACTCTTTTTCGTATAGCTGCTGCACTAAACCCGCTCGCGTACGTGAATGCGATTTGACTGATCTTCGTTACCCGGTTTGTTCGCAGATGCCTGGCGAGTTCACGTCCAGTTCGGGCTCTCTGCTGCTTCGCTTCCGCTCGGACGACAACATCAACGCCAAAGGCTTCTCGGCCGCCTACTCGGCCGTTGACACCGTCGAATTCGGCCAGCAGCACGCCCCCGCGGCGCCGCCGTTCCCGGCTGGCGCTTCTGGCTCGTTCTCCGAAGTGCGCGCACCGCACCGCCGGGAACGAAGGCTCAGACTGCATCGCCACTGAGGCACGCGCATCGGCACCACTACCACTAGGCAGAGAGCCATACACACACTCCACAATCATCCCCGCCTGGATCACGCGTCTTATGCTTTACACGCTCTTTGGACGTCACCCTTTTTTTTTCTTTTCTACTTACTTAGGTCACCAACCGCGAATGGTGCATCCAGCGCGTGTGCGGACTTCTCAGTGTACCGTGATCGGTGCGGGAATCCTGGGGGACGGCCGCGGCCCTTTAGTCCCCACGATAAAGGGCGTTGTTTCTGTTGCGCTCGTGAGCAATGCGGAAAAGCGTGTATGTGATAGAGTAGCGCTGTCCGTCCGCATCCGAAGCATTGACGGGAAGCTGTCGTTGCCCTCGCCGTCGCAAGGGCGATTCTTCCTGTGATGCTTCTTTAATTTATTTTATTTTTCTCTTCGACTGCTCTCGAAGCTACATCTGCGCTTGTCTCTCGTAGGTTTTGCTTTAGAGCAACCTGAAGTGTGTTATCGTACGTAGGGCAGCAACCCAGCTCTCAGCAGCCGTCGCTATTTTACACGCGATTGGTTCGAAGTTAGTACACGATTGAAGATGTCACAGTAACGTTTTTAGTGATGGTTCGAATAATGTCGCATGGTCAGAGAGGTAGGCATACTGCACAGCCCGACAAGGCAGCTTTGTGGTTTTATGTTCTGCATGTGCATGCGCTCGTGTGTTGCCCAGGTGCTTTCTTTTTTTATTTCATTTTTCTGTCTTGTGTTTAACACGAGCTTTGCTCTGGATCATTGCGCCGATACCTTTGATAGTGAGTTGAAGAGTATTCACAGCCTGCGCCGTTTAGCTTTGACATGCACATCAAGAGAGCTTCTCTTGCCAAATATAACAAACAAATACGCACTGATGATCACACACTTAGGGTAGCGCTGTACCACTATCAGTCTACTTTGGTGAAGTAAAGTTCGTTTTTATTTCCGCTCCTAGCCTTGTGGTGGGCAGGGCACTCGCATCTGTCTCGCAGGACATCTGGAATGTTCTGTGTAACAACCATTGTACTTCTGTGAATGCTTTGTGTAGAAACAGCCTTACTGGTACAATAACGATGTATTACAGCAACAGGTCATTGTTTTCAGTAATACTTCATAAGCAGTGGTCACATTTCTCCAACTATCTTCATTAAATCTTTGTCTAAATACAGCAGTAATGTTCCGAGATGACCAATCGTGGCATTATCATTAGGCTTGTGAACTATTCTAAGTATTCGTAAAATGTTCTACTGGAACGCGAGTCAATGCTGTGCTCTGTGGCAACCATGCAGAAGGGCATTTCATGCTCGCAACAAATTCCTTCTTCAATGTCGAAACATGGTCTTTTCGCCACCCTTGGCCGGGACAGAGTTCTACAGTCAGTCGCTGGTTTACTAAGCGTTATTGCATATAGTGTATGCATATAATACATGCACAGTGCATGCATTACACTCACCCAGAATTCGAAAATAAAATAAAAAATGCATCCTCATTGAGATAAAGCCAATGAAAGCTCAGATTATTAGCGACACGCACGCCGTTACTTGTGTAATTTCTAACGACACGCACGAGGAGGTTAAGAATATACAGGAGTGGAAGTGGTGTCTCGAAAGTAAAGGCAGACCTCGCGCACGCTCTATGCATTCAGGACCGTCAATTGTTCCCAACAGATGCTCCTGAGTTTGTTTCCTGGTGTTTACTGTTCTCTCAAGAAGACTCGTAGTCTAGGGAAATTTCATGAGCATGTGCTCATTCGCCACGCAACTCTCGTTGGGAACAATTAAATGTTATTACGTATTTAGCTTACTCATTACGTTAGCTCAACAAAGGAACTTTATCTCAAGTCGGCCATCACACGACAAGGCTGTGTTTTTGTGGCAAAGTATAGGCGAATGCTGGCTCTACATTGGCCGCTTGAGAGTTGCCCGGCCTTTCATCCCAGCATTCTTCAATCTTCAAATAGGGGCTGTGAGAACTATGAGCGCTTCTATATGCCTCTTTCTTTCTTTCTTTCTTTCTTTCTTTCTTTCTTTCTTTCTTTCTTTCTTTCTTTCTTTCTTTCTTACCTTCTTTCTTTCTTCCTTTCTTTCTTTCTTTCGCTTCGAACACACACACAGACACACACAAGAACACGGACAAGCAAAGCATGTATGCATGGACGGCGCGAAGCAATCGAGTAACACTATAACACCGTTTCTATTCTTTTCAGGAGTGGGGGGTTTGTCTTCATCTCTCTTGCCTTGTGAATTCGAGGTCCAGAGCCGAGCGCAATAATTAATGCCCAATTGTCTTGTAAATAACTATAGCTCGACAAGCAGTCGTTTCTCTTACTATTTAATTCATCGAGGGCTGGTGTGACAGTAGCGTTAATGGTGGGGAGGCGAGGTTTGCATCAGCTTAGTTTTTTGTTGTTTTCTCTTAATAAAATTTGCTTGCTGTTTTGTGTGTCGGCTATGAACGGCTACAATGTGCTGATAGGAGACCCAACCCCAGCAAATGAAGTTACAACTTGTGCCAGAGGTGGGCATATGAGATCTGTGGAGAAGAAGAATCGAGAAAAGCAATATTTAAATTCAATTCGCTTCCTCTGATTTGTGTCCACTTTGTTTCACGTACTCAGGCAGCGCAAGGATGTGTGCACTTCACTTCTGTATCTCACTTTACTCCCACCTGTAATATAGTTGCTGTGTACGAACACTTACCGTGCGAGAATAATGTAAATATCAGTAATGCGCATATCATTGTGGTGAGAAGGGACGCTATGAAAACTCATACCTTTTGAGATAAACCAGAATCCTTACACGTCAAAACGTGCATATGTATAGTGTGTTTCTTCCTTGTGACATATCGTACGAAAGCCGTTTCTTTTTTGGCAGACTATAGCTAGAGCGTATGTGCTGAAGGCGACTGTAGTTTTCAATGTTCGTATTTGTCGCTGTTGGGCTCGTTTTCTCCCCCAATCTGGCCGCCTAATGCCATGCTAGGACGGCCCATAACGAAGAACATACTTTATAACATATATATGCGAGCTGTCCACAATCAGTACTGGATCCAAAATAAGCAATGAGATCCAAAAATATGCTCTACGTTTGTTTGTTCTAGCAATTTACAGCAGTGTTCTGGCCCTTTATTTGGACGACTTTTGAGTATTGTTTTGCATTCACAGAATGCACTGCCTCTTCGTAGGGCACAACGCTAACATTTGTTTTTTTCTACGAGACGGCGCACAATGCCGTAATTATAACAGCATAACGGCAAAGAAAAAGAAAGAAAAAAACATAGCAGACAGACCAGATGAGGCAAGTGCATCTTATACTAAAGCGCCTCCAGTAACCTATCGACATTCGGTGGTAAATGAGCTTGTTGCTGTTTTATTCGTTCTTCTAAAATAAGTCAGAAAAAAAGAAAGTTAGGACATGCAAAAGGCATATGCAGGTTGCTTCTGCCTAGGGCCGTATTTATCATCGCACCCATCTTTTCGACCTCTCCCCCCGTTCTCCTTTCTGGCCACTCACCCTCTCCTTTTTCTCCTGTTATCATTCTTCAGCTTTCGCTAAGCGTGCACTGGAGTTTTCTTCTATATTATAGCATTCTTCCGGTGCCTCTGAAGGCGACTTTTCATACATGCACTTGCGGTATACTTGCGAACCTTGTGCATACATAACTTGCTTTTCATCAGCCTTCACCCGACACCCGAGGCCACAGGAATGGCGGTCACTTGTATAAACGTTCCTCACAGATGTACTGTCTATTTTGTGGTAATCACGCAGCTTTTACTTAACCACACCTTTGGCTACGCACTGTATTCTAGAGGACAAAAAAGAACTAACTGAAAGGAAGATATTATACTTGCCAGTGAGCTGCACCGTCGCCTCGTTGCTTGTCATCTTTCATGCGATTTTTTCTTTTTATGGCACCGCACTTTGCCACCCTCCTCCTCTATTCCCTTCTATATCATCGCTCTTTTCCCAGCCTCATATAACTACGGCCGACAAAGTGCCCAGTGTGCGTGAGGCCGGACATGTACACGAAGCAGTTTTTTATTATAATCTTTACCACATAACGCTTACCATTCCTACGGACCACTGCGCGTGCACGCGCGGCGATTCAAAGCCGGTTGCTTTCTACGAATATCCCGTAGTCCAACTTTTTTTCTCTCTTTTTCAGATGTGTATGTGAATATTTTAAGCGTGTCCGCTAGCCGAAGACCTGCTCTGCCTTCTTCCCCTCAGGTAGTGCAATAATAATCTTTAAAGGAAGCCATCCCCTCACCCTCTCTCGCGACGGTCAACAGCCGGTGATAACTTATATCTTATCGATCGTCGCGCAGTTGCCATCTCCCGAAACATGCGTTAATCACGTGGACTCTATAATAAGCGCCAGCATGACTGTATTCCCTTTCAAGATCCCCTCCTTGCCGGTTCGTTTTGGGAAGCGTTCTCGCTCGCTGGCAGATTTTGTTTTGTTTTTATTTTTTATCCTCAGGGCATGCTTTCAAGGGCATTATACTTATATCTCAAGGCTGCTGTGTTCGCTTTTTGGTGCCACTTTTATTGTGTGGTATTTTGAAATGGCATGTACAGCCTGTGGCACCCTGTTATATTTACATGATAAATATAGGTATATAATTATACATGAAGAGATGCATATCGTTTTCTCAGTAGGATGACCTGAAGTTTGGTTAATTGAGCTTCATTTAGTCTTGGTGAGCAATTCGCCTAGTTAGAGCGCGTCTACAGTCTGTTTCGCTGGTCCTCAATTTGTACTGGTCTGTAATTATGCTGTCAGGTTGTTAATGCTTTTTTTTACTTCGCTTTTATATATGTGGTTGTACCGTAGAGAGAGCAACGCGTCAAAGGTGAAGAGGTCAATATCGTGCAAGCAGTTACAGTGAATACAGACAGGATTAAAAAATGTGTGGTTCTGAGCTATGTTGTCTTATAGTCGACGGGCACCTGAATAGAAGACAGTTGCAAGAGGGATAATAAAGTTCGGTCTGTAACGACATTGAAATGATTGCGTCTACGCCAACGTTTCTTTTTCAGTTGCTAAAGCTGTATTACACCAGCGCTGTTTTTATTCGGTAAGGGAACACCCGTACGTTGCCACAAGTGTCCGTAACGAGAAATTTTTGGCCATTTCGGAATTTTCGCCATTTCTTTCTAGCCTGTTTTAACTAATTATATAGCCGTGAAGTGCATTCTGTAGTTTGCCAATGAGAAGAAATTCGCGAAAGATACATGTGTACGTTCAGTTTCACGTGTATCTTAATGCCACTGTCATTAGAATTACTAATCTATGAACCACTATTACCGAGGCAATAATTGAAATTAATTGGTTGAGTCAGAAGCCTAGTAGCAAAATTTTAAGAAAATTAGTGGCCATTTTGTTTGTTTGAGCCCTAATCTAATTATGAATTTGGGACGTGAAAACTCCAAACAATTTATGTTATTGCTGTTTATACCCTCTCCATGGCATGGTCCTGCGATTGTGTGCATTCACACATCTCTTCATTCAAAGATAAAAATTAAGCAGTGCCCTGCAAAAAAAGAAGAAAAAGCGTCATAGTTATGTTATAAAATTCACTAAGCTTTTCGTGCTACATGATTTATGCCGTTAGGAAAACAGGGTGAAAAGCAACGATAGTAAGGGCACTCGTATAACCGCATGTACTGCTGGTTTATTGTTTATGTTGCATGAAAAGTAAAGGTGCGAGTGTTGTCTTTTTGTATATTATCATAGGAGAATCCAAGCTGCCTGACATGTGGTTTCTGCAAAAAAACGGACGTAAAATTGTAGGTGTAAACATTTGTCCTTTCAGCTTGACGCATGGACACCTCTACTTTATGAAGAATGTACGTGCTTTCGTGCTCTTTTGGGGGCTGAATGCTTGTTTGTGCACAATATCATGGCACATTTATGCCTGACAGCTTGTATAGTAGTTATGTGACATACGGTTCGATAAAGCCAGTTTGTAATGCAGTTAGAGCATTGCTTTAAGAACGATTGTTTTGCTACTATTGCAAGAGGATCATGAAATGATGTGACGGCTAAAATAAATGTGTGTGGTATTTTCCATGTTTTGCAACACAGTTTGCGAAAAGTCAGCGCTGGAACGCTCAGAGAAGCGAATTAGCTCTCCTGGGTTATTTATTTTAATTAA